GCTGAATTTCAGCATTGTCGTTGAAACTCAGCCTGCGAGCAGTGAGCTTAATCCTCACCGCCTTCGCGAGCTCAGAGTTATACTGGCCGCACTTACCGGGCAGGTAATAGAAATCCGTCCTAATGTCAATTGGCCCTGGAATCCGTCTGAATAAAACGGATTTGCGAGTCGGTACACTCAAATCGACATCATCAATCAGAGCGTTGTCCGAGAGACGAGTCGTTCTTCTGCGAATTACAGCTCTGATATTCGGGCCGCCCGGACACGTACCTTGCAGTGTACGGGCGCCAATAGTGGTCACTGACCACTCCATTGTCCCTTCAGGGCGTTGAAACCGAGCTCTATACTCTTCATATGCCTTGGCTATGGGATGAGCAGGGCAGGCAACAAGCCCAATAGCCTGAGGGTGACGGCCCGCCCCTCTTAAAAACCCGCTGACAAATCAGGGGCAGGACTATATGTCCTGTCGTCAGCAGTGGTAGTAGGTTCAGCAGACTCGGGTTGCGCATCGGCAGACTCGGTCGCTGGGGCCGCAGTGTGTTGCTTCGCTTCTTTCAGCAAATGCTCAGGTGGCTTTGCATGCTTGTAATCACACTTATCCCTCATGCACTTTCCATAGGAAACCCATTGAGCGCAATACCCTGGAATCAGGGGAGGACGCTCCTTGCGTTTCGCATCGGAACTCCCAGTTCTTGTGTGTGCGAATTTGCACTCTTGTCCGCGCGAACAGTATCCACGCGCGAAGTCCCTGCACGCATCAATCGCAGGAGCGCCGGGCGACGTAGACCTGGGCCTCCTTGGGGGCTCGCCCCTAGGGCTAGGCGTACGCCGCTTGTCCTGCTCCCGATTCCTGGGAGAGTACCTGTCCCTTCGATGAGGACTTGGGGTATTACCGGTCCTCTTCCTCGGATCGCTAGGAGGCCGATTAGGCCTATGGGAATCTCCAAACGGAGATCGTCTCCTAACGGGAGGACCAGGAGCACCAGGCTTCTGGGCTCTGTCTCTGGACTGAGATCGTTCGTAAAAGTCTTTGTGCATATTGACCTGATTCTTACGAACCCTCCAGCGGTCAATTTCGTTCTTGCAACGAGCACGAAGCCATTCATAGCTACAAACATCAGGATTGGATATAATCCAGAGGCCATCTAATCAGGGTTTCAGTGCGTATCAAGGGTTTTGCCTTATGGGGTTAGAACCACTGTTCACATTTTTCTAGGGCGCAGCCACAGCCAAATGGCACAGTGAGCTTTTTTGCTGGCGAGTGTCAACATAAGTCACGCAGCTGGGGAATAAACAATAGGAACAAACAGGTTGGGGCGGACGTTTGGGAAGAATAAAATGTTGCAAATGAAACAACTTGCTGGAGGGGACACAGGGCAAACCAGGTTCCAACACAAACACAGAATGCAGGGACAATGCAATGCAACGTTTTTTTGAAACCCAGCCCCTGCGAAGCAGTCAGCTCACCTTTTTCTTGCACGCAGCCAACAGTAGTCAGGCCATATCACTCGTCTTCAGGGTTGTCAATCTCTGCTTCTTCTTCTTCGAAATCTTCATGTGGAATCTCATCGGCGTCCGGCGCCGTTGGGGCAGGCGTTGTAGATTCGTTCTGGGATTGAAGCGCGGCCTTCAGCATGCACTCCTTAGACTCTTAGCGGGTACCATTGTTTCATGGGTTCGAAAACGATAGCATGTTTCAAAAGAAGCTGTTCACCAAGGGGCAGTCCACAAGGGATTTTGCACACAGAGTAGGGTGCTATCATGTTGAATAAGGGCAGGCATGGTCCAGGGACACGAATGGGGAATGATGGAGCAAGCAGCGTCTCAAACTCAAGCATGCGGCAAGCAATGCAAAAAGACGGTCAGGCAAACATGGACAAGCAACTCAGAAAGCCCAAGAGGCCATCAAAGCAGTAGCCGCTTCCAAGTCACCATTCTTCTTGAGCAGCTCCACACGGATTGCTTCCTGGGCGACAATGCAGCAGAACTCACAACATGCCACAACATAGCGCACATGTAGACATAGCGGCAGGCGAGTGGCAGCTATTTCCGCCAAAATTTCATCGGACACCCCGTCCCGTGGCTTCAACTTGGCATGAGCAACGCGAGCTTGCTGACACATGTTGGGTAAAAGATGTACACCCTGGTTGCTTCCAAGAGGCCCTGAACATCTCTCGACCATTCACTTTGAATCCCCACACACCATTGTTTTTGTACTGGTACTTGTTGATCTTGCACGGCGCCGGGCCCTCCACGGGCAATGCCTGGCTTGCAGCTGGCCGCTTTAGCGGCGGCGCCTTGGCTGTGTCGGCCTTGGCCTTTGGCGTGGGCGGAGTCGGTTCTGGTGATGATCGAAGCGCCTTCTTTTTAGGCGACGCATTAGCCTTCTTTTTCGGTGATGCTTTAGCCTTCTTTTTCGGTGATGCTTTTGCCTTCTTTTTTGGAGCCCCTTTTTTGGGGCTCGGCTTGCCCGGCTCTAGCGGCGGTGGAAGGCCAGTCTCATCGGAAGCTTCCGGCTCGGGCTGGGCTGGGACTGCAGCGGAAGGCCTTTTCTTTGGCGCGCCTTTAGCTTTAGCTGCGGGGCGTTTCCCTGTAATGTGCGGGGCCCCGTTTGGATCATCATCACTCAACGTGTCAACAGCAAGCAATGGCATGGCGCTGGCAAACAGCAAAATGGCTTGCGGCATCAAGACAATGAACAAATCACAAGCAGTGCAGCCAAAAACCAAGTTCATGTGTGACAACCAAACATGGGATGGGACGCTGCTAGTTTGACCTCTCATTTTTCCAATCGGCCGAGCTTCATCAAAACTGTAATGTGTCCCAGCTGGGGCCTAGCTGATCTTGATGGCAGTTTTTGTTGCCACCTTTGTTTTGCAAAGAAGGTGCAGCTTTGGCTTCACAGCTGTCATCACGGCTGGGACTGCGGTGTCCACCTTAACCTGCAGGGAGTGGAAACAACTGGCTGACGACAAAAGACTGACTATGTTTCTGTTTCCACACCTTGCCTCCCAGAGAACAGCTACGTTATCGGATGATGGGATCTTGTTGTACTTGCCAACGAACCAGGCGCCCAACATGGAACCTCGAACGTTGGCCATGTCGGTATCATCAGCAAAGGGTTTTGAAGTGAACGCGTTCACTTTGTTGCGGGGCTTCACGTTGTACCTCAAGGTCATTGCCACTTGCTGGCCGTTGACTTCCTGGCACACATGGGGGACAACAAGCCTTGCGGGAAACAAACTGCTAGAGTGGATCCATAGTCAACAAAATAGGCTTGGTAGGGGAATCCGGCAACAAGGGGAGCAGAGACATGAGTCCTTGAACATGGCCTCCACTGCATGGTCAACGATGCTGAGCTCCATGATGCCCCTCTCCTTAACCACCTTGGCAAACGTACCTGCGACTGTGAGGACTTCTTTTTCACCCTGGGGGTTGATGTACACCACGAGCTTGTCATCCCCGTCCAGCAGCCAAGGCAGCGATCCCTCTGGTCGGGCGCGCGCGGCACCTGTGGCTGGAGGCAAGTGGACAAGGGCCAAAACAAGGTGCGCCAATAGGTTTGTTTTCGTGTGTTTCCAACTGTGGGAGCCTGATGGGATCTCCTCGAAAGACCCCACGTTGAAGCCACACAATTCTCCTGCGGAGACTTGGCAGTCCTTGTCGGATTTGTTTACCAGCCAGATCGAACAATCCTTTGCAATGGATATAGTCAAGTTGGTGTCGCGCTGAAGAGGGCCACTGGCGGCTGGCCTGACCAAAACAGAAACACAAAGCCAACTCGGAAGTCAAACATGGGTTTCCCTTTTTCCCTGCCGAGTCACTCATGGGATGCCTCAAACTCGTCCAGGGCAACCGGGGCGAAGTTCACATGCTTGTTCGTGGTTTTGACAACCGTCCCATCCCAGTCCGGGCTGCACTGGGTTCGTGCAGGCATGGGCTGGGGGGGCGCTCCTGCCTTGGCTTGGATGCCTGCGCTGGCTGGTGTTGTGGCAGCATTGCCAGCCCCCTTTGAACCTTCCAACGCTTGTTTCAGCGGCCCATTGGATGCCTCTTCAACCTTGTTGAGCAAACTTTGCACGGATGCACCAAATCCTTCCGCGTTCTTGTGGCTCTCCAGCACCATGTCAGGCACCCTGCAAAATCGATTGGGAGTCGCGATGACCACATGTTCAAATGACCCAAGTTGAGAACAAGTTGAGTAGCTGACACACTCAAACTCTTCGTTCCATGTTGGTTCACATGTTGTGTTGTGTCCTTCATGATGGTTCCACCACATCAATTTGTTTCCACGTTGGTGGCGTGTTGCAGTCATGGGGTGCTCCATTTTGTTTCCATGTTCGCTTCATGTTGGTTCCTAGTCAACTTCGGTTTCAATTGGGCTGCTTCCAATTTCCAGTTTTGGTGTTGGCCCCCTAGCTCCATGTTGCATGTTGGGTCCATGCTTGTTCTGCTGGGTTTCCATGTTGGCTTCATGTTGGTACCATGGCTGCTCCACACTGGTTCCATGTTGGCTCTTGACGGGTAGTGAACATGTTTCCATTGGTGTTCCCAAGGATGGTGCAATGGGTTGATTCCATTTTTTGCTTGGTATGGTGGTCGACACGATTGTTTCCATCATGTTGTAGCTTGATTGTTTGTTCCCTGTTGGCCCGACCCCGTTTCTTGACGCAGCCAAGGAACTTCAGCGTGGCGCCCTCCAGGCGGAGCACCTCAAGCGTGGGCGGCTCCTGGTCAAAGGCGGCCCCAGGACGAATGCGAGGCCCGGCAGCTTCGGAGGAATCCCACCATTCCTGAACAGGGCACAACATTGGGGGGCAGTGTGCAATCCTTTGAAGCATGTGTCTTTGCGGTCCTGCAAAATCTTCCCAGCAATCTGAGTCTTTGCAGTTGTCAATGAGGTCTCATCGGCGCTGAGGGACCAAAAGTAATACTGCGGGCCAGTGGGTTCTGCAGTCAATCTTGACTTCTGCAATGACCACATTGAAAGCCCCCACTCGTTAAACCTCATTGGTGTCACTTGCATTGTTGCACGGACAAGCAGCTAAACCAAGGGGCCTGTTGGGGATGCAATCGCAAAGAAAGATTGGGGTGCCAGATTCAATCTCCATCCCCTCCAGCAATCCCTGGATCAAGGCTGTGCTGCCATCCACTCCCCGCTGCTGCACCTGGGCGAGACTACACCAGCGCGCCTGTGTGACATGGCTTACTACTGCAACTGAGCTGCCCGAAAATGCGGTGCCAGGGGTCTATCTTGATCTGGATTGTTCAACTCCATGACCCGAGCCCGAGGGATGTTGCCGATTGAGCCCAGCAAAGCCCGACTGCGAGCCCACCCGTGTTGCTTGTGAGCAGGACCAGTGCCTGCAAGACCTTGGAACTCATGGAGAAACATGGCACATTCAACACAAACGGACCGACATGCGCCAAAGTGTGCACAACGTGGAGACAACACACAACCAATGTGGAAACCAGGAGAGGTCCAAAGAACTCAAAACCTTTGTGTCAGGGTTGATTTTTCTGGAACATATGGATACCACACACATGGTGCCAACACGCAAACCCACATGAAAAAACAACAACACATGGAACAAACGGTTTTGTTACGCTGGGTCACATTGTTGACTTGTTTTCCTCTTATCCCCACCATGGGAGCTGTCAGCGAAGCTGACAGCAATTTCGTACATGTCGAGCGACCTGGGCCAGGACAAGTGTGAATCAACCTTGTGAAACTTGAGCCTACAACACTCTGCAGTGCCACAAACCTGCTGCTGAGAGACGCCACGACCTTATCCTCAAGAAGGCGTCTGTGCTTCATGATTGATACCCGGTCCGCGCTGGAATGCCACTGCGGAAGCAAGAAGAAGCACAGCGTCCGATTGTTGCCAGAAGAAACAGCTGCGCATAGATTCACAGCTTCGTCAACTACAACCTGACCTTAGATGCGGGCAGTATTAGGCGATATACTCCCAAGCCACTTTTGACAAGAAACGATTGGGCCACAGCGTGCAGTCAACCATCATGATGGTGAGCCTCAGGCGTTGAGAGTGGGTTTGCGCAGGTCAAACTTAAAACGCCAGTGTGCGTGCTAGCAACGCGTTGCTTCCCAACTTTGCCTGTTGTTGCACAATGGCTGCGTGCGCCATGTTGAGATGCTTGAAGTCCATGTACTTTTGCCGCCCCTCTGTTTCCATGAAGTCCGCCACTGCCTGGCGCCCTGTCTCGAAACGCTTGGACAAGTATTTCATGTCCAGCAGGCCCTGACAAGTGGCAATGGGTAGGCGCAAAACACAATCACAGATAGGATGAGTGGATCTCAGAACTAATGTTTGAGCCTGCTGCCCAATGAAGACATCAAAGTTGGCAGCCCATTGCTTCAATTTCTCCAAGTCGGCATCGATGTTCAGCTCTGTTTGCTGCCACGTTGTCTGGAGGATTTGAGCGGAGAGCCTGAGAGCGGAACCCCATCTGAGGTAAAATGCGCCCCATTGTCGCGGTCAAGGAGCTGGGCCGCCTTCTCAAGCTTCTGTTCGTCAGCCTGCAGGCAGGGAAGCAGAGCGGCAGGGTGTGAGGAAACACCACCAATTAGTTGATTGGCGCCTTTTGCTTGTACTGGGCCACATAAGTGTTGAAGATTCCAACTCTTCCCAAATTGGCTGGCGGGACAGTGTTCTCCAAGAGTGCCATCAAGTCTCCATCGCCATGTCGGAGCATGAACCTAACAAGTTTTGGGGCAGCAACAATCCAACCAAACAAGTTTAACCACGATTGGGGAGACTTCACTTGAGACGTGGCACGATTCAATAATCTCTCCCTCCACAGAGCTGGCGTACTGTTGGGGCACCGCGCTGTGGAATTGCGCCAAGCATGCGGAGAATGCCCCGCAAATCTTGTGCAAAGGATCCTTGGTATCGGGGAACAAAATCACTGGGACACAGCTGAACTGTTGGACCAAGTTCGTAGAAAAGTTTCGACATCTCTCAAGCTCCACGGCTTTCGCATCTTTGGGGTAGCCGATGTCCAATCTCTCTCCATGCGGTTGAGAAGAAGCATCAGCAACGATTCGTTGTTTACCAGATGCTTTTCCCAAGCAACAAGCGTCCCTGAGGCCCCACTGTAGTCGTGGTTGAAGACCCCAGCCGCTACGCCGTCGTGGCACAGAAACTTGTTCATGGTGTGGGCCCGCACCAAAGTGTTCAACCGATCTCGCACAGTGGAGCTCACGAAAGACATGAGGTTCACCGCAGCTCCTGCTTCCGCTTTCCCAATGGAGTATGCAGCTGCAAAAGAGGCCGCGTTTTCAAATGCCTGACACGGGATATGAACAGGAATGGCTCAACTAGTGCAAACCAATTCCCACCTTCAGTGATTGAAGTGTTTGCTCTCCCGAAAGGCCACCCCTTTGGAGAAACATCATCTGGTGGACCAAATTGAAAGCATTTGGCCGGCGGCGGATAGCCGACGCAGAAAGGGTAATACCTGACAGCGAGGCAACTTGTTTTTTTTGGGGGGGGGGGGGGGTTAAGGCTTTTGCCCCAAAAAGAGATGATAGGGGAGAAGGGCAAAAGTGGCGGGCCTCGATTGGTGCTCACCACAGACATGTCATCCCCCTCAACAATCGTGGCGTGCACCACTGCCAGGCTCCTACCCGCAGTCAGGCCGCTCGGCGTTTCAGTGTTGAACAAGCAATATGTGTGTTTGCGTGTGCAATGTCCAAGCCAAGCATAATAATGCTCATGCCAAGCCACTCCCGAACAATCTTGGGCAAAGCCTGGCGTTGATGCAAGCGAAGCTTGGAGTGACCCATTTAAGAACTGGTGAGCGCAACCAGCCTCCAGAAGATCTGCATCTTCGAATGCGGCCATGAGTATGGCCAAACAGCACACACTGCGACTCCAGCCTTTCACTGCGAACACACAACCTGGAGCTAAGAGGTCGCCCTTTGCCCCAATATCAGAGGCGGTCAGGTCGTGGAGAGGAGTGATCAACCATTTTGGGCGGGCCATGGTCACACACAGTTTCTCCGTGCCGGGAATGTCAGCGTCTGTTGCAAAGCCGTTCGCAAGGATGAGTTGGCACAGCATAAGTGCAACATCCTTGGTTGCACATTGAGTTGAACCATGATGAACCATGCAGAACCTAGATTGCATTTGAGTTCCCGGCAGGCTCGATAAACCCCCTCAAGCCCATGTCGGAACGGCTGGAAAGGTGCCACGGTCTCAACAATGTTCCTCCTGGGGATTGAAGCACTGATTTCTTTGCATATGGCCTAGGGGCAGGACAGAATCACAGCACTAAAGCTGACCAGCAAGCATTCACCATAAGGGCCAAACAGACCTGAGATAGCCGGGAATTCAGACTCAACCCAGGAGTAAAATTCAATCGCTTTCTCCTGGCAGATTTGACCCTGTGTGCAGGTGGCAGCTGCTGGCCGCTCCTTGTTACTCAGCTGCTGGGTGATGTAGGCGTCCAAGCTGCAATTCTCAATCTTAGGCTGCCTGGGAGAGGCCCAAGATATTTCTGGGGGTGTTCAAGTTCCGTACAAGCTTTTTAGTCAAGGCGCAGCCAACTCTCGAACTTCCGGATATGAGGCATTGCCAGGGAGTCAGGATCAATGGCGGGCAAATCCGACCCAGCACCCTTCTTGCTTTTGGAGGCTCCGCCACCTCCCCCTCCGCTTTTCCGCTTGGCCCCCATCCTTATAGCACAACATGGTGGACACGGTTGGCGCTCGCCGCCTGAGGTTGCTGCGGGCTGATGGCCACCGCCGCGAACCGGGATGACCTGGCTTGTCTGCATTTAGCCCCCCCCCCACACCACCCCCCTTGCCCATGTTTGTCCATGTTGGTTGCCCATTGTTTGAGTCACGTTTGACTTGGTCATGATGTTTGCTGGCTCACTTGATGATGTTCGGTTCGACTCGTCACTTGTCCATGTCTGATTGCCCATGTTTGACGCATGCTCGACTCATGTTGTTGTTTGTTTCTATCACGTTCGTTGTCAGTTTACCTGATGGTGATGTTCCGTTGCTAGACATGTTGGCTGCTTTTAATGTTGAAACAAACTTTGAAACGACCCAAGCGTCGGATGTGATTGTGTTTGTCCTTCACTTGGTTATGCTACGTGTTTGGCTCACGCTTGACTCATGCTTGCCTCACGCTTGACTTGCTCAAGTTTAGTTGTCGGTTGACTGGGTCGCGTTGGCTGTCCGTAGTCATGTTAGGCTGTTGCCCATGATTCTTTGACATGGCGGTTGTCCCGTGTGCGAATCACATTGGTTGCTCGTTGTCGCTCATGTGATTCCTTTGTTTGCTCATGTCTGATTTGTGCGGTCGCCTTGATCCCATGTCTGATTAGCTCATGCTCGCAGTCGCCCACTTTTTCGATTTTCCAGCCCGACGATGTGAAATGTTGACCCCAGAAATAAGTGGCGCCAGAACCCGAAAGCAAGGACGTGTGAAATGTTGACCTTCAGTTCCTTAGCTATGTTTCCCCCAAGGCCCGGGATTGCCTCGGCAATAGCTTTGCTGCCATGACCAAATGTTTTGCTCCAATCGCTTATGACATGGTTTGCGCTAAGATCATGCTGAATAGAATCCATGTTTGTGCCAAACAGCATCATCCAACCCATAGGTACTTGTCAGAAAACTTCTTGTGTCAAATAACACCCTCCCACCCATAGGCTTGTGCCTGCCCCTGAACGATTTCCAATTTCAGGAAGTGCCCTTTTTGAGCCTTTTTGGGCGCCGAAAACCAGAAAAAAGGCACTTTATAAATGCAGCGGTCTAGAAGCCCATTTAAGAGAAACATGTGACAAAACATTGGGAATAATGAATCCTGAATCTCACAAAACTTCCAGCCCCTTTGCCTGCGTACACCCCGAACTCAGAAGGTTGTTCCAGATAGCATCCTCCAACCAACGGTTTGTGATTCCAACCCACTCATAGGTTTGTGCGACCCATAGATTTGTGCCGGATAGGACCCTCCAACTTCGAGGTTTGTGCCGGATAGCGTCCTCCAACTCCCAGGTTTGTGCCGGATAGTATCCTCAAATCCCAGGTTTGTGCCGGATAGTATTCTCCAAATCCCAGGTTTGTGCCGGACAGTATCCTCCAGCCCAGCATTTGTGCCGATGTCTATTGCTGTTCATCACAAATTCAACTATGACATCCCTGGCACTGCGCCGCCATTGTGACCCAGGAAACGTGGTTGGTTGACCCTTATTTCCTCAGAACTTCCACATGGCCCTGGACCACCCTTAGTTGTGATGATCATGAATGGCGCTAAGCAGAAAGCCTTCATGTTTTTTCTCTATTGAATAAAAATGGGGGAAACTGTAATTGCAACAATTACTTTCTTCGGTCCAAGATCAAGGAGTGAAGATCATCATTAGGGTTCATCACGGAGACCCTACCCATACCCAACCGCCTGGTTGTGCCAGTTTGACACCTCATAAATCCTTGCACCCAGGCACCAACGCATCCTCCACGACTTGTCCACAGGCTGGGGGAATAACTTTGTGAAACGAGACAGGCGTTGCATGGCGGCAATCGAATGCTGATGCTTCACAAATCCGGGTTCAAAGGGTATGGCTCTTCACAAACAATGCCTGTCAGGCTCCCCTGGCTGCATGAACAGCTTCTCTGATTATCGACAATGCTTTCTGCATTGGCACACCGTGAGACCAAAGCCGAGCTGCGCCACTGTACACAGCATGGTTGGCCCGTTGAATTGCATACCGCCGACGTTCCTGCTGATTTCCAGCTGGCATGGCCAGCAAGTTCAATTGGTTCGGGACCTTGCGAGGCTCATGTACCAACATGTTGTGAGCAAGAATTCAAGTCCAGGCGCTGCTTCAAAGTCCTCTAGATCCGGCACTGGTTGTGCAATAGCCGCAGGTCCAACCGCTGGGCCGGCCTGCGGCAGGAGCCTGGCGCAGAGGCAGCGGCGCTGGCCGGACAGGTTGGGGAAAGGGAAACCGTCGCTGAGGATGGCACCATGACACGTCAAGCAAGTCTGGACGCACCACTCCGTTTGCCATGTCATCTATTTCGGTTGCAGCATCGTCCATGTGGTATGGATACTGACCTGGGACAACAAAATCACAGCCTTGAGTGTTTAGATCAATTACCGTGCGACACCCACGCTGAGTCAACTGCGCAACAGCGAAGCGTACTTCCGGAGAGATTTGCTGTCATCACTCATGGGGTCCGGAGGCGCCACGAATTGAGCTGGCCAGACCAAAGGCACGCGTGATTGAGTGCAAGAAGCAACACACGAACCAGCCTGGGGGGCTAGTGCCATTCATGGATTGCAGCAGAACTGCGGGCATGAAAAGCAGCATACGTGGCTGCCAGTCAGTGTCGCTCATGAACTGCTTGGTCCTACGGCAACGCAGGGACTGGCTTCTGCCAGAACCGCAGTGCAACTTCAGACCCAGCCTCAGCACAACATCGTTGTCACTAAACTGAACTTGGCGACGCCGCCAGAACTTGGTGTCGAGATTGTCCAAGGACACACCTGGCAAAGAGAGCGCATGCGCGGTGTGAACACAAAACCAGTTGGCGCCCTGGAAAAACAAATTGTCAGAGCACGGGTCAAGATAAATGTGTGTGCGGATGTTGGGGCCGGCCTTCAGCTTGCAAATCCGAGACCCGGTTGAAGGCAAACACGTGTGGCGCGCCAGGACCTCCGATCCCTTTCAGGTGACAGTCCTTCATGTGGTCCGCGTAGTAGTCACGCCTGTTTCGGGCAGACGTTTGCATGAAGAATGCCAAGCACTGCTACAAACGATGCTGTTCATTGAGTCTAGCAGCCAGTTCCGCACGGAGTGCAACATGATAGTGCGCTTGAATGGCTCATGTTGTCGGGTGGTTGGCTTCTTCATGAAGTCGTGCAGGCCGTCGCGAAAATCAGATGAAGTGTGCAGCTCCGGCAAAGTGGCGAGCCACTCACTTACCGTCCCGAAATGCGCGTCGACATCTTCGTGAGAATGTCCGCTAACCAAAAAGGTTGCGGACGCCGAGCGGATTTTGTGGCATGCGGTGAGAAATGCCAACATCCTCATTGTCGTTACGTTCTTAATCTCACGTGCGCAGTTGTCTGCTTGTAGGTTGAGGTGAAAGACACGTAGATCTGCCCTGGACGAAATTTCGGTGAGGGTGTTAGCCAGGATCTCGCAGGATCGAGAGCTGTTGAGGGGGAGCCCGGGCAAGCTCAAAGCGGTCAGCACA